TACACTTTGCAATCGTACATAACAATGAGTATGAGTTACGTGATAGGCATAGTTCGCTGATTTGATTGATGCATACGGCCACGTAAAACAGTTCGTCTGCCTCGCCACTGGATGGCGTTAAATGCCAGCGTTGCACGGCTCTCTAGCCGTCCGACGACACGCCCGCACGGCTGGGTGCATCCCTTGCACTTGTGGGTTCGACTCCCACACGGGTGTACTACAAGTATACGCACGCTCGCACGCACGCACGCACGCACGCACGCACGCACGCCGAGTACAAACACGCCAGAAACCTAGAGGAGCGTTGGACCTCCGCAGCCAACACCACCTGACACGTAAAACAGTTCGTCTGCCTCGCCACTGGATGGCGTTAAATGCCAGCGTTGCACGGCTCTCTAGCCGTCCGACGACACGCCCGCACGGCTGGGTGCATCCCTTGCACTTGTGGGTTCGACTCCCACACGGGTGTACTACAAGTATACGCACGCTCCGTCATACTCCTGCCGCCCACCCGGGTACTCACCGTGTACTCACGCGTCATGACGACAACAATGCTCCCCTTCGTGCATCCCTTGCACTTGTGAGTTCGACTCCCACACGGGTGTAGTACACGCACGGACCGTCGTACTCCTGCCGCCCAGCCGGGGGACTACGGCCCCCTCGCGGGCGACGCAGCCCGCGTCTAGTCCTGAGTTCGCTGTCCGTCCGCTGTCCGTCCGTAGTCGTAGTCCCGACGTTAGACGGACGACGTTTAGTCGTTCCGTCGTCGGGACGGAGACCTTACCCCAACTTTCTGTCTGTCCGTCTGACCGTCCGTCCGTCCGGGTGGCCGCTTGCTGTTTTCGCGTTTTTCGGGGTGTCGTCCGCGGTTTCGGAGCCGCGCCTTTTAGGCTAGCTCCGTCGCCGCGTGGGAGCCGCGGTCGCCGGTTCGCGCCCCGCCGTCGCCGCTTTTTTCGTCTTCTTCCTTCGTTCGGTTCGGCGCCCCGCGCCGCACCGCACCACACCTGGCCCCGCGGAAGGCGCCCTGGAGCATGGCCGTGTGCCGCTTCGTCGGGCCCGCTAGCTCCGATGTCTTGTGGGAGCCGCGGTCGCCGGTTCGACCCCGGCGCCGGCGCGTCGTTGTGTCCTTATNTATGTTGCTTCGTCGCTCGGCGCCCGCACGCTTCTTTCTTATATTTTCTTATATTTTCGGACCGTGCACAGTGCAATGCGCGCCGCACCGAATTGACACGCAAGCGCACCGAGTTGTTGTTGATTGTTAATTGTAATTCGATACACAAGCGCGCCGAACCACGCAAATTAACATTTAACATGTACCCAGCCGTGCAATTGAACCTGCATTTTGGCGCGTGATTCCTTTAGAATACACCGAAACGCGCAATTATACACGCAATTTGACGCACACACAGATATGCACGTTAGCTATATTTGTCTTCACTTACAGTAGTGCGGCTGAGCGCTGAATCATACGAAAGCCGCCGGCTGTAAATTACGAAAGCCGGCGGCTGTATACTGGCTGGTGGTGCCGCCAATGCAAGCTGTGACTTAAGACGGCTTCCGTCAGTTATGGCAGACACGCCGAATGATTTACCCCAGCGGCCCGGAACTCGCGGTCGCGAGCGCCTAGGTACACTTGCTGGCGGTTTTCATTTTAGAGGCACAAGTGCATCAAACACACCCCTCAGCGTGGATGCAGCTCGGATGCGGGATGCTCGTCTGGATCCGCGGCGCAGGGCTGCAGAGCAGCAGCGAGACACTGCTGCACGAGCTGCTGCTCGTCAAGACCCAGAGTACGGGGCTGCGGAGCAGCAACACCACCGAGACCGGGAGGGCTGGGCTGTGGGGCAGCACCACCACCAAGACCCGGAGCGCAGGGCTGCGGAACAGCAGCGTAACACTGCTGCACGAGCTGCTGCCCGTCAAGATCCGGAGCGCAGGGCTGCAGAACAGCAGCGTAACACCGCTGCACGAGCTGCTGCCCATCAAGATCCGGAGCGCAGGGCTGCAGAACAGCAGCGTAACACCGCTGCACGAGCTGCTGCCCGTCAAGATCCGGAGCGCAGGGCTGCAGAACAGCAGCGTGACACCGCTGCACGAGCTGCTGCCCGTCAAGATCCGGAGCACAGGGCTGCACAACAGCAGCGTGACACCGCTGCACGAGCTGCTGCCCGTCAAGATCCGGAGCGCAGGGCTGCACAACAGCAGCGTGACACCGCTGCACACGCTGCTGCCCGTGCTCCAGGTGCATGCAATACAGCATCCACAAGCCAGCTTGCTTGAACGCTTGCGGAACC